TGGGGCCCCGCGGGCCGCCCAAGGGCCCCCAGCCGGTATCACTGGCTACCTCTGAGCGCCTGCGGAAACACAAAGCTGAGCGTTGGCGACCCTCCATGGGGTGCAGGACGCCAGCTTGGCCTGTGGGGGGCGCTCGTGCGTGGCGCAGGGTTGCTTGGGCAGGTTTTTGGGGGAAAGCGTGGTGCATAAAAGCCCATCCGGAGAGAAAGACATGGACTGTGCCCAGGCCTGCCAGTCTGGGGTGTGAGGGACAACGTGGGCAACTGTCCCCGGGCCTGGCAAGACAGAAGCGTCCAGAGATCTCAGCCTCCACTGGCCAGTGCTCTGGGGCCTTTAAATCGCTGCTGGAGCGCCCCCTGGGGGAGCTGTGGTGCTCTTTGAGGACTGCCTAGGCCCCACCCCTTCTGCATGAGGCCCCGCCCCTTCCAGAGGCACAGAGCAGGCCCCTCCCCCTCCAATCTCGTCCAGGGTCCCGACGAGGCTGTCGGACCCACTGGCTGTGCCAACAGATTCAGGAGAAGGAAAGGAAGAGGGGATATCACATTTGATGCCTACTGAACTTGACAAAGATACTTCAAAGAAATTATTGATGTGGAAACAAGCTTGCTCGAGTATGCAAGTAGGACTTGAGTTAGACCCATCAGATGTGTCTCGCTCTGCTACGTGAAGGGATCCGCATTTTAGTTCAGGCGCTGTAAACAAAATTGACAAGTATGAAAATGCACCAGATCCTTAAACCTCCCCCCTTCCCTTTCAGGTCAAGAACTGTTAATTTTCTGTATCTAGGCCATTCTCATACATAGACTCATAGACTTTAAGGTCAGAAGGGACCATTATGATCATCTAGTCTGACCCCCTGCACAGTGCAGGCCACAGAATTTCACCCACCCCTCCCAGAATAATCCTCTCACCTATATCTCAGATATTGAAGCCTTCAAATACTTTGAAGACCCCAAGATGCAGAGAATACAGTTCCCCCTGCTCCAGGCTTGTGTGAGACGGAGCCCTAGACTTGCTTGGAACTCTGGAAATGATTTAGACTACTGTACTAAATTTAACACAAGTGGTGAACTTAAGTGGTGAACCATTAAATCGGTTAACAAAGGCATGAAGCAGGATGTACATAATCCAATTAAAAACATCTACATACAAGATACTCCTCGCCAGACTCCCTTGTAAATCACAGCCTCCTGCTATCTTAGCCATATTTGTTTGGCGTGTGCATAAAGACCCCAGAAGGAAAACAGCTTTGAGTCTGGGCAGCTCCTTTTTGCTTGGGATTAGGGCGAAAGTTCCAAGCGCCTACAGCCAGGCTAACCTCCAAGAGCAGGTTTGGAATTTTTCAGCCTAGGTGCTGATGGTAACCAGGGCAAAATCAACAGCCTTTCCCTAGAGATCTCCCAGTTTGGGATCCCGGCTGTGTCCGCGTTGCACCCCTGCGCTTTGTTAAAGCCACAGTCACACTAGGTGGCCGTTACCCTCCCCTTGACCTTCGTTTCACAGCTTAGGTAGAACCACTGAAAGTGGACTGTACCGTGGCTTTCTCACTAGGCTCATCCCAGTCACGTGGGCCGGGAGTGACGCTCTTAAAACTTTGGCCGTGTCTACACGGCCACTTTACTGCACAGCAGCGTTCACGCACCAGGGGCTGAGAAAGACATGGACTGTGCCCAGGCCTGCCAGTCTGGGGTGTGAGGGACAACGTGGGCAACTGTCCCCGGGCCTGGCAAGACAGAAGCGTCCAGAGATCTCAGCCTCCACTGGCCAGTGCTCTGGGGCCTTTAAATCGCTGCTGGAGCGCCCCCTGGGGGAGCTGTGGTGCTCTTTGAGGACTGCCTAGGCCCCACCCCTTCTGCATGAGGCCCCGCCCCTTCCAGAGGCACAGAGCAGGCCCCTCCCCCTCCAATCTCGTCCAGGGTCCCGACGAGGCTGTCGGACCCACTGGCTGTGCCAACAGATTCAGGAGAAGGAAAGGAAGAGGGGATATCACATTTGATGCCTACTGAACTTGACAAAGATACTTCAAAGAAATTATTGATGTGGAAACAAGCTTGCTCGAGTATGCAAGTAGGA